TCCCTCCCTCCCCCTCTCTCTCTCTGGCACTTGTGCAGCATCTTTCATCAGAGAATCCTAAATTAATCTCCCAACAATTATCACCATTCATCAGTGGCCAAAAAAAAAAAAAAAAGGTAGTCTGACTTGCCAAGCTTTGGAGGCCTCTGTCCTATGCTGCTTGCCTCCCCTAGGGCATCAGGCAATGTTGGAGCAGGGGACACCCTGAGCCAAGTGCAGGGTCCTTAGTCTGACCATCAGAGGGACTAGGGCAGCAGGCCAAGTATCCACAGCCATTTCCCATAGCTACAGGTTATCCTGGCAAGTCTAGCTGTGAGTGTGTTTCTCCACTAGCTTATTCCAAATGAAAGAAATGCAGACAGCATTACTTGAGGGAGATGAAACAGAACAAAGTCGGATGAACTGATTCTCGACTCTTGATTATTTGCTGTGCATTTGTAGACCGCGTGGAATCTGTCTTCCTGTGCAAAATCGGAGGGCTGGACCGCAGGTACTTGTGAACTTGCTGAAGTCAACTGCATGTGTTTTCTCTTTTCCTTTAACTAAAAATGCTATAAACTTGTATTTTGCACACATGCTGATGTACTGTGTCCAACCATACATATCCTATATGAAAGACTGAGGAGCAAGTATGTAACCAAACGTATATAACAATGTCAGTGCCTATCTGGTGGGGAGGAGCATCCTACAGAGACTGAGCCCAGGAGGCTTGGAAGACACTTCATTGGAAGAAGCAACTTTTATTGGGCAATAGTCTAACAAAAGCACCCATTTAAAAATACTATCTTATCTCGAAAAAGAAAGGGCTGGAGAGATGGACCGATGGTTAAGAGCACTTGTTGCTCTTGCAGAGGACCTGGGTTCGATTCTCAGCACCCACAGGGCAGCTCACAACATCCGTAACTCCAGTTTGAGGGGATACAACGCCCTCTTCTGGCCTCTAGAGGTACTGCATGTATGTGATGCACAGACACAGGCAGCCGTAACACCCAAAGGCATAAAATAATAAAATAAAGACAAATAAAAAGGAAAAGAAAGCCGAGGGGGAAGAAGAACAGGAGGAGCCACCTAGGAAGCATGGCAGCCTGCTCTGAGTTCAGCCATTCAGGTGAATGAGCCAGACTCGTGTCCTTCTTCAGACTTAGAAGCCACTTGAGAGCAAGACAAGACTTGCCTGAGTCCCAGCAGTAGCTGGGATCGCAGGATTTGAGCTCCAGGCTGTCTGATGCCTCGCTTTCTCTCACACGGCACTGGGAGGTTTCTACTAAGGAGTGCATTTTCTCCAGCACTTGGAAGGTGAAGGCAGGAGAATCGGGAGTTCAAATCCAGCCTTAGCTACACAGCAGGCCTGAAGCCAGCCTGTGCTACAGTGCACTGTTTATGTAGTAGTGAGTGTTAGGTTCCTGCAGGGAAGAGCTGGCACCTTCCTGAGCCCCGGGGACCCAGGAGGGACAGAGGCACGGCACAGGGAGAAAAGACAGAGGTGCGCCCCAAGACTGGGCTGGCAGCTACCCCCAGACCTAAGGAGGCAGCAGCCCTGAAGCTGCCAGGGTTAGTGGGGCGACAGAGAGAGGGTCCCCAGGAGAAGAGCTGTGAATGCAGGACACCAGCAGCAGGGCAAAACAGGAGCCAGAGAAGAAACGCCAGTCCTCTGACTTCTCCTCCCCTTCCGCCCTCCTCTGTCCCCCTCTTCTTTCCCTCTCTCCCACCCTGTCTTTCCAGCTGGGCTTACCACTGACCAAATCAGGCTGGCAGCCAGAGGATACCCAAGAAAGCCCAATTTCCTGGTGAGCCTCCTGGGGCAGAAAGCCAAATCAGAAAGAGAAGAGAGTGAGATGGGGTAGGCCAACGAAAGACCTTCCTTCAGTGCTGAGCAATTCCAGCAAAAAGAGCCCCCTCAGAGCTGGGTGGGGGGGGCTCTGACGGCCACCCTTGTCCCCTCAGAGCTGGAGGGGGGGGGCTGTGACGGCCACCCTTGTCCTCTCAGAGCTGGGGGGGGGGCTGTGACAACCACCCTTGCCCCCTCAGAGCTGGGGGGGGGCTGTGACGGCCACCCTTTTCCTCTCAGAGCTGGGGGGGGGCTGTGACGGCCACCCTTGTCCCCTCAGAGCTGGGGGGGGGCTGTGACGGCCACCCTTTTCCTCTCAGAGCTGGGGGGGGGGCTGTGACAACCACCCTTGCCCCCTCAGAGCTGGGGGGGGGGGCTCTGACGGCCACCCTTGCCCTTTGCAGAGACCTGCAACTTCCCACCAGACACAGCAATGCTTCTTCTGAACTTTTGAGCCCATTTTACAGAAGAAAGTGTGAAGGTCAGAGGAGACTTATGAAGCTGGCAAAACTACAACAAGGAACCCCATGGCAAGACAAGGTAGAACATTTTTGGTTCCCTCTGGGATCCATTGGCATCTTCATTCATTCATTCATTCATTCATTCATTCATTCATTCATTCATTCACTTGTTCAGTGATTATCTCACTATCTGTGTGGTAGCTGTAATATCCCAGATCACATATTTGACAAAAAGCCGAGGGCAATGCATTTTTTTTCTTTAACCCTCACATGGTACTTCTTCCAGGGCTTCAATTATAAATAGTCACTGGCATTTATTTAGCTCTTATTGTTTGTGAGGGACTGTGTAAATAACTCGGCTGCATTATCTCATTTAATCCCCATAATAACTCTTAGAGGGAGGGATCATTTTTATTGTCTCTACTTTACAAACAGGAAACCCAGGCTTAGGGAGATTGAATAACGTGTCCAAAGCCACTGGGTTGGTAAGGGGTGGAGCTGAGATCAGAGCCTGGTCCTTCCGACCTTGGTGCAGGTCAAACTGGCATTTGGACATTCAGGTGCAGCTAACATTGAAAGCCTGAGACATCTCACTTCTCAAAATCTTCCTTAGTTTTCTTCACAGGGTGTCAGGAGATTTGGCCACTGGAGGCCTCCTGGCCCTGCCTAATCCTCAGGCCATGGCTTGCCTGTCTCCATAGGAAGCTGGGCTCGTGGTTCTCACAGGACCACCTGTGCTTTGCGGCAAATGCAGGTTCACACCAAAGGACTGACCCCTTCCTTCAAAGAGCCTGGAGCTTTCACCCCAGAGAGGATCTTTTCTCCTCTCCCCTCACCCAGACCCATGGAACCCGACAAACACAAAGTGGTTGGGGCAGTAAGCAGCTAGGAATGCGGCCTCTTGAGCTCCTCCTGGCAGGCTGGAGCATCGAAGACAGCCCCACAATGCCCGACAAATACTCATCTCTCCAGCAGTCCCTGGCAACCCCACTGAAGGCAGATAAAACACTTTCCACAGTATCACGTTTTATCTTCCCCTTTGTGGGCCAAGGGAAGAAAACGCAGTTGCCAAACACAAATTAACGTGTAATTATTTTCCTTGCCTGAATCATTTTCTTTCATGTGTCAGTGCATGCTGAGCAAAGAGCACCACACCTTGGACTTTAATTGTGGTAATCAGAGCTCTGAGCCACAAGAAAGTCTCTGCTAATGCCTTCCCTAGCTCTTGCTTTCAAGTTGAAGCAACTAATCCCTCCACCCTTCACTTCTTCTTAGGAGAAAGAAGCATATGTCGGGGGAGGCCCCAAGGCCATTGCAGCCAATAGTTGACCTGCTTGGCCACAGCAAAGTGTCCACTCCCCCAAATATAAACACAAGTGTCTTGGATTCGTGGCTTTACCTGCTAATGGCTGTCCCCCCGCCCCAGCCCCCCACCCCCACCCCCGGATTCATCTGCTGACTATTATTTGTTTAGTAAATTTAGGACCACCGGTCCTCAGGTCAATGCTATAAGGAGAAGTGTGTTGTATGGTCTGCCTACAGAGATGGTTGTGATATTTGAGTCATGTGATAACTGTGACTGAATGAGAGAAAAGAAGGTTTGCTGTAGACCTCTGTCCCAGCGACTGGCTCTGGCTCTGGAGATCTTTGGAAGCTGTTTTCCCCCTTTGTTTTATCTGTATTTCTTGTGTGTGTGTGTGTGTATGTGTGTGTGTGTGTGTGTGTGTGTGTGTGTGTGTGTGTGTGTAGGCACATTCAAGGGCACACACATGTGGAGGGCAGAGGACAGCTTGGAGTGTTGTTCATCAGGTGTTAGCTACCACTTAGTATCGATTTGTTTGTGTATTTATTTATTATTTTCAAACGCCATCTCTCACCAGCCTGGACCAAGTCCACTGACTGACCAGTGCCCAGGGATCTGTCCACATCCACCTCCCCAGCACCCAGATTATAAGTGAATGTCACCACCATAAACAGGTTGTTTGGTTTTACCATGGGTTCTGGAGATCAAACTCAGGCCCTCATGGTTTTAAGGCAAACACTTTCCTAACTGAACTGTTTCCGTAGTCCAGAAGATGAGTTTTAAGTTATTTTGAATAAGTTTTTTTTTTTTCTCTTCCTCAGCAGACACAGGTAACACTCGAAGGTATGAAATGGTAATTCAGCCACTGGAAGCCACCTCTTCACTTACAGGCTAATCTCCTCCTCCTCCTCCTCCTCCTCTTTCTTCTTCTCAGGCATGGATGTACTTAGATAACGTGTGGGTAGTTTAAACAGTCCATGCTTCTCCACTGTCTCAGATTCTGAAGCCCAGGACATCAGTTCATCCCTACCCAGCAGCAGGGGTGAGTGGTTGCGAGGTTAATAACCTTACATTTAACTAAGTACTGTATTAATCAGGGTTCAGTTTTGAACATGAGACAGAAAGGCCCATTGACTCTAGAATGCTTTTAGCCTTCTTCTCATGGTCTCATTATGATGTGCCCAGGCCACAAAAGTTACTAACAACTAACACCTAAGCCTGCCTGTTCTGTTCCCTCTCAAGATCAAAGGTTTAGTCTCTTTCCCTTTTTACAAATCCTATGTTTAAATAAAGGATAGCATTAAATCTCTATACATCTAGTCACTCATGTGTGCAGTCAATAATTCTCCATCTAATCACAATTATTACGTATGTATTCAATAATTATTGCCTTTCTAAGAACTAGACAAGGAGGAGGAGGGATAATAGTCAACCCCTGATCTCAGGAGGAGACCAGAAGATGGAGACAGGGTGGGGGTGCCACCCTGGCGTGAGATCGCAGCACTGGGCTGTGGTAACTGAGAGGGAGAACCTTCCCGGGGATCTGTGGCATGGCTGCTTGCACAGGCTAAACAGAAACCCTTCCGCTGAGCTGTGCCCGAAGCTCAGTGATGGGCTCCTGAGGATAGCTCTGGTGTGTTCTAACTTATGCTAACAGCTAAGGGGAAGTTAGGACCACAGAGATGATGCTGGAACCCCAGTAGTGTGGTGGTATTGTATTCACCAAAATATTGTGTACCTTAATAAACTTACCTGGGGTCAGAGAACAGACAAGCCACTAGTTAGTCAGTGATAGCACACGCCTTTAATCCTAGTATTCCAGAGACAGAAATCCCTCTGGATCTCTGTGAGTTCAAGGCCACATTGGAAATAGCCAAGCATGGTGACACGCCTTTAATCCCAGAAAGCCAGCCTTTAATCCCAGGGAGTGGTGGTAGACAGCAGAAAGATATATAAGGGGTGAGGACCAGAAACTAGAGGCATTTGGCTGGTTAAGCATTTGGCTGGTTAGGCTTTTGGCTGGTTAAGCATGTGGCCTGGTTAAGCTTTCAGGCTATGGAGCAACACAGTACAGCTGAGATTCATTCGGGATGAGGGCACAGAAGCTTCCAGTCTGAGGAAACAGGACCAGCTGAGGATCCGGCGAGGTGAGATAGCTGTGGTTTGTTCTGTCTCTCTGATCTACCAGCATTGACCCCAATAACCGGCCTCGGGTTTGATTTTATTAATAAGAACTTTTAAGATTCATGCAACACCAGTAGTTTATGGTGACTCTTTCTACTGAACTGGACACGAGTTTCCAAATACTCAAGGCCCATTTCCTCCATTTTGTGAATATCACAACGTAATTTACAGGCAAGAGACATGCAAAGCTTGGGATGCATTGTTACTGTTTTCTTGTTTTCTCTGTCACCTATTTCAGTCTAAACACTAAATTAAGCCCTAATTTATCTCATTTGCTAATTACTGGAGTCTAAGTGTTCTAGCTACAGTCATTTCCAAAGCTACCCATGTACTAAGAGGCACAGTAGCATGGCATTCCATAGACTTTTCATCCTACACATTCAGTAGATGCAAATAGTCTTAAGAGCATTAGGGAGTAGTAAAAGGTAATAAAATAATTAGAAAATGACGAGCTTTAAGTCTTTACAGCCTTTGTTTTTTATATAATTTATTTAATTATAAGTTTTTATAATTTAATCTTTAATAATTGCTGTATTTAGCAACAAGCTTGCAAAACCCTGACGATTTAGGAATCGACTCTCGCAGACCAGTAAGGGCAGGCTCTGGCACATAACCCAGCAGGAGAGGTCATGGAGGGCTTCTCCAAGAAAGACATTCTGGAGCCAAGGGAAGCATCATGGTGTGGAGGGGATGCAGGGCTTCCAAGTCTGACTCCTGCGGGTTCAAATCTCGGCTCTGCTCTTACTGTTGTCTGATTGTGTTGGCTGCCGGTGCATCCTTTTCCTGTTGTTGAAAATGGATCAAATAGAGTGTAAGGCACAGGGCTGCTTTATGCACGAGGAATCCCCCCCCACCCCCCGCCCTGGAAGTGCCTTTACATATTAATGCCAGATCAGTAGGAAACGGGAGAAAGGCAGGAAGACATGGGAAGCATTCCAGACACAAAGAATGATACAAGAAGGCAGAGTGAGAGGCATCCAGACATTTGTGGGATCTGACCATTGCTCCATAGGGCCAATCCTTGAACATATAAGTAAGATTCGAATAGTGACTAGTGATTACAGAGGCTGGCCTCTATGGTCTCATGGGGATCTACCTGAGTTTGTCTCTCCATCTATAAACTAAAGCTTGCTTATCCTGACCCTCATCCTGGATGAAGGGGTTCTGTCTGAAAGGCAATTAGCCCAGAGCCTAGCAGATGGATGAATGGGGGTGATCAGCATTTTATTTCCAGGAGTCTGTTCAGAGCCTGGGGATGACAGGAGATTAGAAAATGACTTATTTGTTGACCTGCCTCATGGTAAAGCAGAGTGGGTCTCCAGACTCAGCCAGCCCATCACAGCCTGTGCCCACTAAGCCCATGTAGCTCCTGGTAAAACTGGGAAAATGGCCTGGAGAGAACACCACTTTCGCTACACCCAGATCCGGAATGTAGCTGGAGAATTTCTCTCCAGCTCCCGCCAAGTCTCGCCAGTCCCAGAGCCCACTTATAAAATAAACACAGACTCTTACATTATTTAAACTGCTTGGCCATTAGCTCAGGCCTATCATTGTCTAGCTCTTACTCTTATATTCAGCC